ACACTCCCGCTTGCCGGTGCCGGGTCTCGCTCATCTCCTACTGCTAATCCTGAGGGCTCAAGCATTGCAAGAGGCTCCCCTCGACCCCACGGAAAGAGAAAAAAATCAGGTTACAAAAAGGGTCATGGCACAGCTCTCTGCCTACCACATTTGGGTGGTTTAACCACGACCTTTCCCATCTTTTCTCTGCACCCTGTGGCTACAAACCATCTCTCCCTCACCACCAGATTGCAGCCCCCTGGTGACTGGTTGGCTCTGGGGACAAGGGACCTCCAGGCACCCCAAACGGCACTAAGGTGGGGACAACGGCAATGCTGAGACTTGGAGGACACTGGAGTTGGCACCCCGGGAAGGGGAATGGGTAGTGCCTGCCAAAATGCCAGCTGCGGCGCCTGCCGGGAGCACCCAGCGGGGAGAGCCACCGGCAACGGGGACCCGGTGCCTCTTGATAGGAGCCATCTCATCACTCCCCTCGCACTATGCAGCGCTGATACCGCAGTCAAGGAGACCCAGGGCCTGGCAAAACGGGCAGGGGACAACAGCTGAGTAGGTTTTTCGGAGCTCCTGCTTGCAGCCATGCAGGGAGCAGGAGGGATATTGGAGGCTGTGAGTCTGGGGTGCCTGCCCTAAGCCCCCCAAAACTGCCAAGCCCCAAACCCCAGTGCAGGCAGAGGACTGCTGCTGGCTGCAGCCCCTCTCCTGGAAGCAGAAGCAAAGAGGGGGAGAAAATTTGTTTCCAGGCTTAGTGGGGAGGATGCAGCCAAGCCCTGGTTGCAGGACAGGGTCCCCCAGCAAAGCCCCATTTGCAGGATGGGGTCCCCCAAGGAAGTCCCAGTTGCAGGAGAAGGTCTCACCCCTGGCTAGTGGGGTGAAAGGGCAGGAGCCATCCCCGCATCCCACCTGCAAGGGCCCCGTAAAGTGCAGTGCTGCGGCCCCAGCGCCAACGCAAGGCAGGGGAGCCCTCCTGGCCGCCTCCCGAGTTTGGGGACATGGAGAAGGGGGTGTGAGGTCAGAGCAGGAGCGGGCAGGGGTGGGTAGGGCATAGGTCGGATGGCGAGGAAGAGCAGCCCCGTCCTTCCTCCCCGGGCGCCTACTCATCACAGCCCAGCAGCTCCACGCGCAGGGTGATGCGGTTGTGCCAGGCCACGGGCAGGATGCGGACAAAGCGGGCGTAGAAGGGCACGTCGAACACGTTCTTCTTGTGCGAGTAGTTGTCGCTGTTACCATGGAAGATCTAGGCAGGGAAAGGTGGGCGTCAGCACCTCCAGCACCTCCCCGCCATCATCCCATCCCTCCCTGCAGCGGCATCCCCAAGGCCTGGGAGGTTGCTGCCCACCTTGCCCTGCCCCACACACCTTGGTGCTGTTTGTCTGGCCATCCCGGTAGAGGGTCCAGGACGTGCCATTGTCACTGTAGGCCACCTTGTAGGCTGCCACGTATTGGATGTGCCCAAAGTCACGGGCTCCTTGTGTAATGATGCCCGTCACCTTCTTCTGGTCCCGGAGGTCAATCTGGCACAGAGAAAAGGCTCATCGAGACTACTCCCAGGAGTGGTGCTCCCACCACAGAGCATCCTGCTTGTCCCTCAGGTGTCAAGAATGAAGAAAATGCTGCTCGACCCTCAGCCCAATGCCAGAGCAACTAATAAAACACTTCTGTGAAATATCTGACCCTTTAACACTCGCAGCATCCCTCGAAGCAACCTAAAGCAGGACACAAACCCCACCATCTCAGCTCCCTTCCCCACCGCTGCCACCTCAACATTTTTTGCTGAAAAAGTCAAAGTGGGAACGACAGCAAAAAGTGTCAATTCAAAAAAATAAAGGATTCCCAGAGGAAATGTGTTTCCACTGGAAAGCAATTCTGGCTGAGAAAATATGCAGTTCAGTGCGGTCTGACATTTGGGCTGTGAGATGGTTTCTGTTCTCTTTATTCTGCCACACTGCGCTACTGCTACTGGCACGCTACAGGGTAAACTAGCAAATAAGCTGAAAGTCTCCTCAATTTAGTTCCTATTTTATGCTCACAAGGGCAGTACTAGCTACACATATCATGTGTATGTGTATATATACGAGTATACATGTAAATCCATATACACCTACACAAACAGGCAGCCAGCAGTGCAACAGCCTAACTCAGTGTGTCATCCTAACCTCATCTGCAGTCTTGATAAGCTGGTTTATTTAGGGCCATGAAGCAGCTGCTTTTAATCATTTCCCAAATAAAAAGTGGGATAAATATCTAAACTGCTTTGTCCTATTATGTCATGAAATCATGTGAAAAGTATAAAAACAGGGGAGGAAAGGAAACTCAGAAGGAAATTTCAAAACTATTTGTTCCCATTCCAGGCTGGGAAGAGAAAAGCAAACCTGATTTTTCCCTGCAAAACAGAAACACGGTGTTCTGGGCAGCTGGAGGGTCATGGGACGGTCACCCCAGGCTGGGATGGCACTTCCCAAGGGGGTGATGCAGAACTGGGGGACTGCAGGCTCAGGGCACTCCACAAGAAGGTCTGCAGAGATGGCACAACCCTGTCCCTGTGGGCACTGATGTTTCTGACCCAGACCTCCAGCATCGCTTTTAAAACCAGTGGCTGCGGCCCCATCCTGACCTGCCCTGTGATCCCAGCTCGGGGACAGTGCCGCCAGGCTGCATGCCCCACAGCAAGGCTCTGGCCCCATCGTCCCGGTGGCTCTGCCCAGCCTCTCCTGCCGTGCCCATCCTGCTTACAGCCACCCTGGCACAGGAGGTGGCCCCAGGTACAGGAGGTGGCCCTGGGCACAGGTGGAGGAACTGGGGAGGAGAAATGAGGTTACAGAGAGAAGGTACCATGACCCACCTGCAGCCACTCGGACTGACCATCGTGGAGTGCAGTCCAGGCGTTTGTTTTACCCGTCTTGTCCAGGCGAGCATAATGAGGGTGCCAAGTAAAGGCATCGATGCCCCAGGTCTTGAAGACGCTGGAGGCTGTGATCTGCTGGTCGGAGATCAGGCGGGATTTCATGCCCAGAGGCTCCGAGCAACCTGCCATGTTGAAATACACTGTAACACAACGGTTTATACAGGCAGTGAAAAGGAAAGAGTCCACAGCACCATCACAAGCAAAATCCCGCAGCCCTGGCAGGCACCATCCCCACGTCCCCACCTTCCCACTGCCCGGAGCTGCAGGCAGGGCCAGGCGGTGGGAAGGCTCGGCAGAGGCACAGGATCGCAGTCGGCTTGACTTTTCCCAGGATTTTTACCTCCCAGCTATTCCCTGGTTCACAGTGCCTCCTGCCGCAGGGACGCACGGATGTCCCCACGGCA